TAAGTTTTAATTAAATAGAGAATTGAAATCGATGATTCCTACAATATTGGGGAAGTGGATGCTTACTATAACATCGAGAAATTTGAAAGGTGGAAATTGATTCTTATACCAGAACAAACATGTTCGTGATCAATTTTATTTTACAAACCAATAAAACAAATAATTGATTTGTTCAAAAGATCGATTCAAGAGGAAGTGAGGTGGAGTTCTTGATTTGGTATTTACTACATAAATAGTATATATAAATAAGTGTTAACATGTTGCAAACATAAATAGTATATATAAATAAGTGCATACATAATTAATATTTACATGTTAAAAGAGCGGTAACTAAAATGTTATTTCAAATTGTTGATTAATTATTTGTTGAGTATATATATACATATATCAAATGTGTGAGCTTTGTCCTCAACTAGTATAAACTGCGAACCGAGAGGGGATGAGCCGATTCAAGGGAATGGGATTTTCTATGTGTCTCCGAGCATTACTTTCCATCCGAAAACAATATGTAATGTTGATTGAAACAAATGTCGYGTTAGGAATAGAGGGATTCGAGAGATACTTGTTTTCGAGATTAGTAAGATAATACCATGCCAAACCGTTGTATATTTTGACTTAACGAGACCCTTAGCTAAAGCTCCCTAGATATCTGGCGTGACTAGCCATGAGAAGAATCAATTATATAGAATTTCTAACTTCTCTTCTGATATATTGTAATGTTCAAAACCGTTAAAGAATCATGTTTATTGTGATTTTTGATTAATTTGGAAAATCCCAATTATTTAATGTAATCTACCAAAAAACAAGAAACTGAGGATGGCGAAATCAACACATGCCATAGATGAGAAATCATTTATATTTTGTTTTAGTTACATAAAAAACAAGTTTGGATTCATACTGTGATATCGCGGCGACAATAGTACAAACTAATAGACTAAAATAAAAACGAAAATATTGTGATTTAAACAGAGAATGTTTTTTCCTGAATTTTTATTTTGAGATATTAAGTTAGCATATTGTCACAAATATGGATAAAACTAGATCCAAAGTTGTATGTATGTACAAGTAGTACATGTAAACTTTTGATTAGTTTTTTTTTTTTAAACAGTAAGGTGATTCGTACGTTACTAGTTGTTATAACTAACCCCCAGCGTAACAAACATTGCTCATCTTCTATAACTGATGTATGTAGTGTGCACAGCAAAATATCTAAGATAAGAGGCTTAGTTTGACAAGTCTGAGCTTCTAAAAACAAGGAAGACAAGAAAAACTCACGACTTGTGAGCAATAGGAAGACACAAATAAATATGATATTACATACTTGTGAGCCAGAAAGACAAGAAAAATAAAATTTATTTTATACATAAACGGCTAGTTTTTGCAGTAAGCATGCTTCAAACATCATTGGTTGTCACTGTAGTTTCCACATCATTACCAGGTTCTGGAGCAGTTGCATTCCCTTCCAGGTATTCTAGTATTTCTCTCATACTAGGTCGATCTTCTGGGTTATCTTGTGAGCACATCAACCCAACTTTCAAAATCATTTTGGCCTCTTCATCTCTCAAGTTGCCTACTAGACGACTATCAATTGTATCGATGATACAACCCCTTCTCTGGCAGTTTGCAACCCACCGAATCAGCATAACCTGCTCCCGCGGTCTATGTGGGTCAATCGGCTGCCTCTCACAAATGACCTCGAGAAGGAACGCTCCAAAAGCATAAACATCAGTCTTGGTAGTGGGGGGTCCCTCTGCGGTTAGCTCTGGAGCCATGAAACCAAGGGTTCCAACCACACGTGTGGCTTCGAGAGCCATGCCACGATCATGGAATCTAGCAAACCCGAAATCTCCTAACTTCCCATTCAGATTGGCATCTAAAAGAACGTTGCTTCCTTTTATATCTCTGTGCAATACAACTTGTCCCCAGCCTTCGTGTAGATAATGAAGGGCAAAGGCTACTCCTTTCACTATGTGTACTCTCTGAGGCCAATTCAGACTGTTTCCCTGTAACAAGTAATCAGAGACATTTCCATTTGGCATGTACTCATATACCAAGAGTAATTCGCCTTTCCTTCTGCAGTAACCAAGCAACTGAACCACGTTCCTGTGTCCCAGTCTTCCCATGGTAGCAATTTCTGAAACATACTCTTGCATTCCTTGTTCTGAACCATGGGAGACTCTCTTAACAGCGATTTGAGTACCATCACGTAAATCTCCTCTGAACACCTTTCCAAAACCTCCTGCTCCAAGTACCTGATTCTCCTTGAAACCTTTGGTTGCTTTGTATAGGGTCTTATAAGAGAACCTTTGTGGGCTATATTCTTGTTCCCATTGTTCAAACACCTCTGCATACTTCTTTTTAAGGTAGAGATACATTAGTCCGCCTAGTATCATCACAAGTACTATAGGTGAGATAGTAGAGATTATGATCACCAGAAGATCATCGAGTGCAGGTGACGACGGTGGAGGCTGACAGGGCGGTGGTTGAGGGAGATCCAAAACTTTTGAAATGTCAAGGCTTTGTGCTTTTCCGCCTGTTGCCAATGCCCATCCAAGGATATATTGATGACTCTTGATTGCACTCGTGGAACCAGAGAAACCAAAGTACATGTGCTCCTTGAAGATTTTGGAAAGGTCTACGAATCTTGACAAAAGGGGCAAGCTTGGTTTTTTGGTTCCTATTGGAGCAAGAGTTACGTTTAGCAATCTCTGCTCCCCATCATACTCTATCCAGATATGAATTCTTTGTTTGCTTGCGAGCACCAGGCTGCTATTCATCTTAACTGCATCATCAAAGTAACTAGCATTCTCATACTTGACCGATACTATACTGTTGATATCTATCCCGACATGGTTATCACTATGGTCAAGGGCTTCAGGGTTTTCATGGGTGTCGAGCTCTATGGCAAGGATGTGATTATCGGTTCTGTTATCATTTGTCTTATTGAAAATCCCTAGATATGATGATGCAGCGCCAGACCTTAGATCAATGGTGGGAGAGACAAGAAAAGCCATACACCTTGGCCGTTGCTGCGCCTTTCATCTTCTGGAATGATGGCAAAAACGAATTGTGTTGAAAAAGAAAAGGAAGTGTTTCTGAAGTTTATGGGTGTCTTGTGGAAGGCATGCCCAGTGGCTTTCTCTGAGCTACTAGTAAGTTTCAGTCTTCCCTCTTCAATAGTTGCCATTCCATCTACGTATAGATCTCCTTTCATGAACTCGTAATGCACAAACTGATAACCATCTTGACTAGAGACAACAAGGACTGAAGTTATCATCCAGAAACTCAATAATTCTTTTGCTCTAGACATCTAGAACAGCTATGAAATTTCTCTGTCCCTTTCTTTTCATAATGTTGTGGTTTGCTTCTTTACCTTTTTATTGTACTATGAACCTTGTTAGGCCCTGACTAGTTGGCTTAGTCTTTAAGCACCACTTTGTTGTCCTATTAATGTCGAAATGACTTTCAACATCTTTGATATTGACAATTTCTCTCCATAATGCGTGGCCTGCTTCTTCTTTTTCTGGTTTGGCTTGAATTTTTTGTTGACTTGTTAATTTGTCAAAACCTCAATCAATGAGAAATGCCGAAATTGTCAGGGCTTCCTTCTGTACCACTTTTTATCTATGGCCATAGATCGCTAGCAATGTTCAACCCCATTCCCCTGCTCAGGCAATTAGGCACTAAACAACTCATTCCTCTCTTGTTTGAACGTTCCAGTACTGGCCCAATCCACAGTCTATAGAGGGTTTCAAACAAATACATTGTGTGTTTTACTCACTTGAAATCAAGGCAATCTTGACCAGTTGACCTTGAAAATCTAATAAGGATTTAATACTCAAATAATGTTGAACATGTAAAAAGTAGGAAAAATCTTAATGCTACAAGTTCATCAATATTCACATGATGATAGCTCTAAACTCAAACCTAAAAGAGAAAATGCTAGCTTGAATGGGAGCAGTATCAACTTGAACAATTACACTTTTTACAAAACTGACCACAAAATCATAAACACGGATTTGCCACCAAGAATCTAAACCAGAACAATCTGTTTTGTGACTTTTCTCTTAACTAATCCTCATCCTAACGAACATTGCTCATCTTCTATAGCTGATGTAACGAGCAGACCAAAATCTCAAAGATCCAAGGTTTCGTTTGACAAGTCTGAGCTTCTAAATATTGAAGAGAGAACACATATGACTTGCGAGCCACACAAAGACACATTTTGGTTTCAATCTAGCCTTCTAACCTCTGAGCCATAAGACACAAATGGGGTTTCAATCAAAGTTCTTCAACGGGAAACTCCAGACCACACACAAAATATGGACATACCTTGCTAGAAAACAGACTTGTAATCATTAAGTGTGCCTTAGAGACATGCTCAAAGAAATGAAAATAAAAAACCGCCAGTAGAACTTCACAACCAACAGAATGATTCAAACAGAAAAGAAAGAGATCATGCACTGAAAACAAAATCAGTAATATCAAGAAACGTATAAATTCATGTCTATTTAACAATAAAATGTTAATATGTGCAATATATACTATATATGTAAACTAGCATAACTATCTATTTAACAATACAACACTGTATATACATGCATATATGATATTTAACTAAATCAAGTTGCGAGATAACTCTCTAACCTGAATGTTTCAAGCACTTGATAAGTTTACCAGGCTGTTTGTGATAACAAGCAAAGCATGAGAGTCTCTGCAGGCAAAGAGGTGGCAGTTGGTTAGTAATTCCAGAAAATCTGGTCTTTTCGAAACTTTTTCTTGAGATACACTCCAATCAGCTTCCTGTACGTCCAGTTTTTCCGTTGACTGGCCTCCAAAACAGCTTCTGAGCTAAGATGGAAATCCCCTTTCCCCAGTACTTCAAATACAAGTGGATCGGTTAAGACAAGAGGAGAATCGTCCAAGTTCATTCGGTTGTATACAAACTCCAAATTCCTTGCTAGTCGCCTATCCACGTATGCATCGACCACACATCCGAAAGTCACAAGATCTGGAACAATGTTCAAACGTCTCATATGTTGGAGAGTGAGATGTATATCCCAAAAAAGAGCCATCCTAGAAAACGCAAGGGCGCGGATGTTAAAGGTGGTAAGATCAGGAACGAAACCCGCGTCAAGCATTCCAATGAATTCTCTCTGCAAGCTTTTCATCTTAAAGTCAGCTGCATATGACAGTAATACAGAATTCCACAAGATATTCCCCACATTTCTTCTACCAAGACCAACCTCTGACAAAAACTCACGTAGCCGATAAAATTTCCTCCGTTTTAAGTACGCTAACAACACAGCTCTTATCTCTTCTTCCTCTATCACAACTCCAGACCTCCTAACACGGCCATACGCATGCTCCATCTTTTCCAAGGTACCGAACAAACTATAGCATCTGACAATTGCATTAGCAGTGGCAGAATCTAAGGAGATTTCCTTTGAATCAAGTAACTCTATCGTATCCTCCATCAATTGCAACTGACCATTCTTCCCAAAACAGCAAATAGCAAGTGAACATACAATAGGAAGCAGCTTAGAATGCCTAGCACTTACGTCCTTAGTGATTTTGGCAACTTCACTAAAACAACCAATCTGCTCATAAGCAGACACGAGCTTTGAGATAAGAATGAGATCAGGCACGAAAGAGCTGTATAAAATCTCGTCCCAAATCGTACGTGCTCGTTGAACAGACCCATTTTGAGCAAAGCAGAGGATAAGAGCGGAAAGGGTTGTGTAGTTAGGCAGCAAGTTGTCTGATTTCAATTGGATAAAGACCTCATGAGCTAAATCAGGCAATCTTCGGAGGCTTAAGCTTTGGATTAGTGGAGCATAGTCTACGACTTTAATCTTTGGAACGAAATCTCTAGACAGCTTCGAGTCCTTGATCAACTGCACACAAAGTAAAGATACCAAATGAAAAACCCACTCTTTTGGGCTAAACACCAAAGCAAATGCAAATCGCAAACAGGCTTAATAGTCATGATAAGCAATTTAATTGCAGCGGAAAAGGTAGGTACCTTGCGAGCGATTGAAGGAGTAGGCGAATCTATGGAACAAGATAAGAATTTGCGATGGTGGGTTCTCAAAGAGAGATGATGAGGATTATATGAAATAGAAATTAGCATCATCTTTCAGAGAAATCGACAGAGAAAGAAGAGATATATCGTCGCCGGTAAAAGAAACGAGCTTTTCAATGCTC